CTGGGAGCGCAGGTACCGGCGCTGGCAGAGGGAGATGTTGGGGTTCGGCTCTCGCCGGGCTGGGATGGATCGCTGAGCCCAGAGTTGTCCAAAACTGCATCGCAGCATCGCGGGCAGCGCCGGGGGCTGCGGAGAACCGCGGCGGGGGTCGTGTCTCGGCGCCGGGAGAGGGGATGGATCGACAGAAGGTGTTGACACTGGGTTAACCCTTCCCTTCTCCTGCCGTTCAGCGTTTTCTCTTACAACCCGAGCCGAGCCAGAGGCAAATTATTTGGTTTTTTTTTTTTTTTTTTTTTGAAATTCAGATGAGGAAGGAGTAAATATTTTATTCGGGGAAATGTTTTTTTCGCGTGCCTGTCTGTACGCGCTGCTCGTGTGCGGAGCTCTCCGCGAAATGTTCCGTGTGAAATGACTTAGCTGTGTGTAATTCCTGGTAGTTTGTTGACAAGGCAGCAGGGTACAGATTTACTATGAGCTGCTCCTAAGTTTGGGTCAGCCCAGTGCGAAGATTGTGCCGCTTTGTACCTGTAACGCCGAGCAGACGTGTACAATGCCACATCTCCTGTCTCGCTGCCGGTGCAAAACCACACTGGAAAGGATAGCAGCCTATATTTGGGAAAACGCAACACGCTAAAAAATCATCCTTTCGGTTTTTAATGTAGTCAATCTCACTTAAAACTGCCTCGCAAGGCGTGGAAGGTATTGCGCAGTGTTTTACTTGACAGATGGGAAAATAATGCAACTTCTTTTGTATTCATCTTCTGCGTGTAATTTTCAAAGAGTGCTCGCAGTTGGAGAATGAATCGTTCCCATTCTAAGTAGTCTTTTTCATTTTGCTTTTTTTAATTGTTTTTAAAACGTTGGACCTAAAATAAATCTGTTTTAAAGTTTTGAAGCCTTCAGCTTTTTTTTTTTCTGTTTTCTTCAGAGAACTTCACAGTAAGGAAGGTAATAATTAGATACTTCTGGTAGGTGAGCTGTAGTACTCTGTGGAGCACTAAATGGAAATTTAGGGAATTGTCACAGAAGCCAGCTTCAAATTTTACCTTTCTTTTTTTTACTGCCAGTGGCATTTGTTGTTGACTTTCATTTTCAAAGGGTGCTTTGTTTGGCTTTGTTTTAATTGAAATATAGAGCTTTCTTTTTAAGATTAAAGATTGGAACAATGGGAAGCAATTTCAGCCTTATATACTTATAATCTTACTGAGAGCCAACTTAAAAGTATTTAATACAGCTATTCAAGTATCCTCTCATAATTTGTTTTAGACCAGTTAGTTGTAATTTCTTTCTGTAATATGGATTGTTATAAACCTTGTAACAAATGCTTATTATCTTTATGTAAAATTCACTCTCATGGACAAATTAGGTTTTTCTTCCACGAGTGAACTATAATATGAAATTTAATGTTCTGACCTTTCTTATGCTGGATTACTGAAAACGGTGTCATTTAGCTTTTCTGAACGCTCAAGCATATTTTTGTTGTTGGTTTAATGTGTTGTTTTATATTGTTGCTTCTAATTGCAGGGAAAAAATAATGTTACATATGTAATTTTCACACTGCTTCTTACTGTATGCAGGCGCTAAAGTTCTTGCTGTGTAAAAGAAACTAGTGGTTTGTTTTTTTCCTGGGAGCTCTGATGGCCAGAATTCTTGTTAATGACAGTCATTTCTCTGGCAGGAAGATGTTTTCACTTGTATTTACTTTTCAGTACAGGGCAATTATGCTGCTCTGTGTTGTGCACTCTTGGTAGTTTTTATCTCAAAAGAATTGCAGTGCTTGGAACAGGACTGCAGTTTGAAGCAGGTGCTGTGTTTTAATGTTATGCAAAATAACACTAAAATATAATTGTAAAGGAAATTAAGGAAACAGCTGCAATCTTGGCATGGTAACCACTACATTGTGATTCGTGAGCAGTTGTTGCAGCATCTTACATCACATCCAACACGGCAAAGATTTGTTTTAGTAAAGCTCACCTTGCTTATTTTTACTTCTGAAACTACTGTGCTGCTTCTTATGAGAGGGTTAGTGCAGAGACCAGACCACAACCTCAGTTACAGAGATGTACCACCTCACTAGTGACAGTTTTTAAATTGGGACTTGGCTTTAGTTTCATCTTAATCTTTTTTTTTTTTAAATTTATTTATATTTTTTCCCTCTAATGCTGAAGAAGAAGGATAGAACCCAATTACTGGAATGAAGGTTGCAAATGTCTTAACCCAACTAACATATGGAACCCTACATAGGCCCGAGGTGGTAAAATAGTAAAATAAATGGCCTATAGCAGGCCATCTGCCATTTGCAGGACATTTTCATTGTGCTTCATGCCAAACTGGAAATTAGTCTTTATATTAAAAATATATTTTGAATACAAATCAAAGATTTCAAGTGTGTAACGTTACACATGGCAAACACATTTCTGTCTGGGAGCTAGAGAAGTCCAGGAAAATCGTGCTGGAAAAATATTGCTTAGTTCAATGCTCAGGGCTCAAGTCATTCTCTTCTCTTTGCCATCTCTTTGTCTTCTCAGTAAGCACCGATTTCCTTTTGGAAACTGCACATCAGATATGAAAAACCCACTATTGCATGTGGCAGCTAAAGGGAGGGATGGCAACTGATGCCAAGTGTCACAATTTCATGTAAATTGAGGCTAGGATAGCATGTCCCAGCTGAGGAGCTGCCTCATAAACAGGGCTTTTAAAGAGTTGCTCATCTTGAAAGTATCCTTCCAATATCAGCTGATCAATTTTCAGGGTCCCTCTGAAAGGAAGGCAGCTGAGGTATCCTCAGTTTATTGACTGAAGAAATCGAAGCTCAGATTCTGTGCAAGAAACTCAGCAGAAGATGTTTGGCAAGTTTGTGGGTATTGGGCTTATATTACAGAATACACTGAGTCTTAACGCTAAAGATGTTTCAGAGCATTTTGGAGACGTGAAAGATAAGGATGCATAGAGAGGGAAGAGCCTGTTTCTTTCATCTTATGCAGAAATATTTATGTGTAAAATCACTTAAATCTGTCAGGTAAATCATTACTGTCTGGTGGTGAATCGAAGCCAGTTTCGTTGCTAGTGCACGATAACATGGATATTTTGTTAGCATTGTCTAGATAACTTGCCTCTCTCTGGGCAAAAAAATACTTTGATTCAAAAGTATTTGGGTGTACCTTTTGCTGCACGATTGTAAAATGTTCTTTCCATCAGTTTCTTGTAAGTCTCTCAGATGAAACTCATTTTGTAAAGCTGCAACGAGGCCTTGAAAACAAGTGTGTGTGTTTGTGGGAAGCAACTTGTCCTTCAGGAAACCGGGCCCACTTGTTAATTTTCGTGGTTGCAATTAGCACAAGATGTTTTTTAAAATAAAGAGTACGAAACGGGGAGTGTTTAACTGGAGTATTCAACACAATTAGCAAAAGATGTTTTTTAAAATAAAGAGTATGAAATGGGGAGTGTTTAACTGGAGTATTCAACACAGATGTTTTATTCTCCCATCCCCACCCCTCCCTGAAGATACAGCCTTACTTTAAGTGCTCATCCTTTGGATGTATTTAATGATGATGGAGTTAAATGATGAGGCAATTATGAAAAAATAAGTGAATAATAATACTTAGAAAAGATGTTTTTTAAAATAAAGAGTATGAAATGGGGAGTGTTTAACTGGAGTATTCAACACAGATGTTTTATTCTCCCATCCCCACCCCTCCCTGAAGATACAGCCTTACTTTAAGTGCTCATCCTTTGGATGTATTTAATGATGATGGAGTTAAATGATGAGGCAATTATGAAAAAATAAGTGAATAATAATACTTAGAGAGTTGGGTGATGGGTACACCAAAATATAGGGATGGAAATCAGGAGGGGATAGGGTAGTATGTCTGTGTCTGTTTACATCTCCTCTGAGCTTACAGCAGTGTGTGCTGTCTTTCTCTCCTGGCAGAGGTCACAGAGTTGAAGAGGTGCTGCTGGGAATTGGGAGCTGCCTGGACCACAATGCCCTACCCTGCTCCTGGCCTTGGGAAGTTGTGAGCTGCTCATGTCCATAAGGAGGAAGGATGGCTCATGGAATTCCTTCACAAGGCAAAGTTACCATAACAGTGGATGAATACAGCTCCAACCCAACGCAGGCGTTTACACACTACAACATCAATCAGAGCAGGTTCCAACCTCCACATGTGCATATGTGAGTATTCCTGACCTGTCTGTGTGTCTGTCTGTGTGTCTGTCTGTCTGCTTGTGCCTGAGAGCTGCTGTTGGAGTGTGTTGGAAACTGGGAAATTTGGTTAGCCACGTGAGCAAACTGGCAAAATGGTTATCAGATTTCCTACCTGGCCTGTCTGAGGAGCCTCTCCATCCTCTCCTGGAGCTGAGTGAGGCTCAGTGCCATCGCTGCCTTGGAGCTCTCCCCGCTCGGACTGATGGGTGCAGCTTGTCCCTTTACTGCTCTCACTTTTAACTTGCCTGAGGGACCCATTGCTTTCAAATTTCAGCTCCCTTCCCCCCAGCCCTTACACTCAGCTGCGAAATAGGCCTAATTGGGACTAATTGTGCCCCCTGATCAGTGACTCCTTTGTCCTGCCGGTTGCGAGTGGAACGTGTGCCGCACAAAGGGGCTGCTAGTGCCTCGAGAAATACAGAGCATTTTCTACTCCTTTATGGACTTCAGGAGGTGATGTATTCTCACCACTAGACTGTATGTTAACCTGCCTTCGAATGCAGCTCGATTTCAGCCAGTTGTAGTTTTTGGTTTCAGTGTCTTCAGACTTACAAACAATTCACAGTAGTTTTGCACAGCTTACAAAGAGCAGATTCAACCCCATCTCCTCTCCTCCACCCCCAGACAGTCAGACCAACTGCAGCAATGGCCAAGAATAAAATTCCCAGGGTAATCCTTATAAATAGAACTACAGGAAAGCTAAGAAACCATCTAAATAATATCAGAACCCATGGCCCCGACCGACAAAAAGCTTGGGGAGTGAGGAGCTGAAGGCTCCTTCTCTCACCTTGTTGTTCCTTGCATCATGTGCCCCGAGATCCTTGTGCTTCTCAGCACCTGGGCACAGTGGGCTGCTGGCAGAGAGCTGAGTGCCAGCTTTAACTCCGAATCTCCTTCCCATTGTTTTAGTTGGTTTTGATCTTTCGGGGAAGGCTCTTTTTCTTTTCGCAGCAATAGACTGGAAAGCACGTGGAACTAAAACAAAGCCGACATCTCTTGACCTCCTTGGAGACTTTGTTAGGCAGGATTTCGAACGGTGGCACACCATTGAGTTTCATAAGGATTTTGCATAATAAGGGGGGAAAGTTGTATGGTACTTCATCGCATTTTTGTTATGTAGAAGCTTGAGGGAAGAGTCACAATGTAGGAGTTCAGCACCTTCTAATAGGATTTCTTGTGGTTACAATGGTCCTAAAGGCAACTTTGGGAAGGATGCTGAGGAGTCTCTGTCGTGCTGACTTTTCAAGGTGAAAAAGTTTTCCTTAGTTGCGTTCGATTTGTTGCTACAACGATGGTGTAACTTTGCTTTTGGAAACATTTCCATCTCTTGATTCACTCTCCAGCCCTTTTGTCAGCAAATTTCTGTTGCACGTTTTGCTCTCCAGACTTGCACTAAGTACAAATTTTAGGTAGAGAATGAATTTGAAACAAGCAAAAAAAAAATCAGAAAGTAGTTTTAAAGAATCCCTTCTATTGATGTTGATTTCAGTGAGAGCTGAATTTAGGACTAAGTGTGGTGTGCAGCATTGTAAAAGTTGCTCGTGCTTTGTTTATAAAACTCACAAATATTTATACAGCCACTCCTCTAACAGTTTGTGAATTTCTCAAATGATACTGACTTGACAGATGCCTTATAAAAGATCCTTTTCTTGTTTGGAAAAACTTTGTAATTGAAACAAACACTGAAACTGCAAAGTACAATATAGTGACAGTATTTTAAAGGATCTTTAATGTAAATACTGCAGCTTTTTAAAATCATTAATTTGGTTTCAGTGGAGGATGTGGCATACTAAAGGGAGATCAAAGTTTAGAAAGATAGGAAATTAATTGGGCTCGGATTCACAGTGGAAGCAGAAAGAGCAACATTGCAGTGCAGGAGGTGAGTGCAGGTATAGGTCTGGATAGCAAATGATGGATTTTAGAAAACCTGTTGGGGAAAAACCAGACAGGATCCTACCAGGTGGGTAGAGGAAAGCAAGGAAGTGAAGATATGAGTGTGTCTGAGGGTTTGTGTGATGTGAAGAATAGTAGAATTATTTCTAGGGAGGGGAAGCTGAATTATGTGGCAGCCTCAGACAGGGGCTTAATTTGTCTTCTCAACTGGAAGCATTGTGTGTATTTCTGAAAGAGGATGTCATCAAGTGAGAAACCTGAACAGCAAATTGGTAAAAGCAGTATTAACAAAGAAACCATGATCTTTCTACCCTGTTGTATGTCTGTTAGTGCCATGTTGCTGCAGCAGCCAGGATTGATTTGATCTGGTTTTGCAGTCTGCTTTTCTTTGTTGCTGTATTCTAAAGTAATGCACGTGTTTGGGTTTAGGTTTTGTTATGTTGTTTTTTTTCTCTGAGAGTTTGAGGAAGCTTTATTCTCTAGTGAAAAATTTATTTCAAAAATCCTGGGATGATGAGAAATGAGTGAAGCAACATGGGAACTGAGTGTTGTGACATGTATGTGAATAGCAGGGCAGTATATTATTGCAGGGCCAAGCTGCATGCCATAAATCAGTTGCTGGGGGCAGCTTAAGGACTGTGTTCTTTGCTAAGGGAATTATTATTTTTTTTTTAGAGGTAATTTCTTTATGGATATGCATCTTCATGCACAAAGGTGAGAATTGGATTCTTGGTGTATACTGAGCTATTTCTGGTTCTTGTTTCCTTTGGGCCCAATTCTCATTTCACAGAGTAAATGAGAGTCCATGGAATAAACCTGGTGGGTAAGGCACTACTGGCATTACATGGGGCACATCCTGCACTTTTCCTGCCACTTTCATTTTGTGCCTTTCATGTGACAGTGTCATGTAGTTCAATCAGTTCTCTTACCATCTTTATATATGTTCTTACACCAGCAGCTCTTAGTGAATCTGCTTAAGTGTCCTATGAGGTAAACAACAGTGAATTTTTTACTTTACACCAGCAGTTCTTAGTGAATCTGCTTAAGTGTCCCATGAGGTAAACAACAGTGAATTTTTTACAGCTCCCTTAGCTTGGGCTGGCTGTGACAGCAGTTTTATCAGTTACTTAAACTCTTAATAGTATCAATCCGTTTGTCCAGTCTTTTTATTTTATTTCTCTCCTAATTAATGCTTGAAGAGATATTGTAAATGCAGGTTTTTATTGCACAATTATTTTTGCTTAAAGAGATAGAATTTTAAGTATTATTTTGTCATCTCCAAAAAAATCTTCCCACCCACAGGTTTCACTTACTTCCTGAAGGTGTTATAAAGTGTTGGCATTTGAATGCTTTGTACAAGTCGTATTTACTTTCAGTTACTTCAAATTAACTGCACCACCTTAGAAAGGCAGCTGAAAAATAATATATAATGATCATAATATGTTTCCTTTTGCTTCATGTTGGTTATTCTTCTTCTGAAGGTTTTCATACTATCAATTTTTTAGTCATTATCTGTGGCTTCAAGAGGCAAGTGCTTCTTGCTCCTTTGGTGTGGTGCTGCCAAGTATGATAAGGTGGTTTTTGTTTGGGTTTTGTTTTTTTTAAACAAACCAGCTTTTAAGCCTGTTTAGACTTTTGAGATGTTTCCATAAGAGGCTGTGATCAGTGATGCTAACAATATCAGTTAGGATGCAGCCTGGGGACAAATCCAAATGGAAAAATACTCAGGTTTTAACCAGAGAGAAAAATCTTCTTGTTTGGGTACAACACTCCATTTACTTGCAGGGACAAAGAAAGGGGAGAGTGAAATAAACTTTGTGGTATTTGTGGTGGAAAATGCCTGTTTGGATAGGCCCAGCTGGTGAGGCTGAGGGAGTTTTGTGGAGATAAAATAGCTGTAGCCTAAGCTGCTGCAGGCTGAGCCTTTTCTAGGAGTTCATTAGCTTTTCTTTGGCCTCACCAGCAGGGATGGGTGGCTTGTTTTTTAGGAGTTAACATGAGTACACGTTAAAACTCTGTTATGGTTTAAATGCAGTAATAGGGGAGTAAGAAAGACAGAGGCTTCTGTGCCAGAGCAAAACCAAGTTTATTCATACCTGGAGATACATTGAGCTTTATGTAACTATATCATTTTACTGCCTTTTCTGTACTGGAGTAATCCCCCATGAGAATGTTCTTACTTAAAAACAAAGACTATAAGCAGAGTTTTATATTAGGAGGAATATATATATATAAGGTTGAATAAAGTACTTAAATGTCTAAGTGTGTATAAATGTGTATATATAATAACAGTAAAATAAAAACATAGCTGTGTGACCATAGGAGAAAAAAAACCTCAACTGTGATGAAGCCTTACACTGTTAAAACTCAGAGTTCTCATTAGACTGTTAACCCTGAGAAATAGGATTTTGCTTGGTTTTTGTTCTTGAGGAAACTCCAGCATTTAATGTGCTTTCTAAATCCCACTGAGATTAGTGGGAAATTATGCATTTGATTTGTAAGATTCTCAACTTTTGTTTTAGATAAGGTGTGTGATATTTAGAGGGGCAGGAGAGAGTTGGCATTAGTAAAATATGAGCTCATTTGACACTTACAGAATAGTAGAGTTTGTACATGTAATATTATTGATTGAGAAGACAGAGATTCAGTCTTAAACTGAATCAGCTGTAGTCAGCTATGCCTAGTGTGGCTGGACAGGCTCTTTCAGCTGGTACTGGTGTGAGAGGGGGTTGTAGTTTTGGTAGAAATGGGTGCTCTGGCCATTAATAACACTTTATTTTTTTTACTTTTTTTTTTTACAAAAGCATACACAGCTCATGCCCACCTGAGCCCCTTTTCACAACTTATTTTTCAAAATAAATAAATCAACCACTACTCCCTGAAACAATCAATCTATGTTTAAGTTCTAGTCATGAAGACATGAGTACATTGAATGAGATTACTTACTTTTCTTGTTTGGAAAACTTTGGCCTTGCTTTTGGGCACAGGGATTTCTTCTGGGGTCCTGGCTCCCAATCAGCTTACCTTTGTGCAGGTTTAGTCTCCTTTCCCTCGCTGGTTCCTCAGCTGAAATG